TTTTTTTTTTTTTTTTTTTAGTTTGGATTGGATTTAATTGGATGGGATAAATGGTTGAGGGAGTAACAAATCTATCCCAAATTAACTGATCAACTTAAGTCAGCTCACCTAGATACATGGGTAAGGGCTTTAAGTAACTGCTGTAAGAGTATAGATAAAAGGTAGCTCCCTTTCAACAGGTCCCAGTGTAAGTGAGAGGTAGAACTGAAGCTTTGAATAGTCTGTATCCTCAGCTAGGAGGCGAGGGGGTGAAGATAAGTGTCCAGCAAGACAAACTTTGATGTAGTTTTTCAATAGATTAATGTTAACTGAAGTTGGTTTTAGCAGAAAATAATTGACAAACAGTGACTACAATTAAGAAATCCTGAAATGGATTAGGTAAGATTATTGGAATCTTGCCTTTGAAGTACTTGATCATGTGTAATGTTTCCCAGGACTCAAACAGCAAGAATATGAGCAGCAAAATAAATCAAAGCTATGATATCAAAGAATGTAAGTTCAAAYGATTCCGCTCAAATAACTCCAAAGCTCTGCAATTAAGATAAAAAACAATAAAGGTGAGATAACATGTTATAACACTATATATCACCAGCATTAGCCTCTAGTCAGCAGGGAGCCCTTTGAGAGGGTTACTTCACAGGTATGATTTCAATTCAAGTGCTTGGGAACTAGAGTAAAATGCAGTGAAAAAAATGGGCTGCATGCAAGGGGTAGTTAAATGCGAAAGAAAAACATGAGCTAAAAGCTCCCRGGTGTCCTTCAAAGCACAGTACAAGTAGCTGCAAAGCTGTCGTCAGGGAAAATAATAATAAAAAAAAGGCTCTATACCAAAATTTAATACCATAGCAAGTTAGCAGCCACAAGATATTATTCCACAAGAGTGATTCAGCTTGATTAAAGTCTTACAAGTATGTTCAAGGACAATATGTTCAAGGACATATCGTTGGAATGCCATCTGCAAGATTTAGAAATAGCCTGAACTTTACATTTTCACCCATTAAATTACAGTTTCTCATTGTCTGGAAATGTCCAGCAGTGGTTGTGTCCATTTTGTCTCAACACCAAAAGCCACAATTGCAGCTGGGCCTCTAGTGTGACTGGAGATAGAGCTAGAGCACAAGAACTCCATTTCTGCCTCTGTCCTTAATTTTTTCTTGTGACACATTTGGGGTTATGCCATTGTGTACATCCATGGTACACATGAATAACACTCTTTGTATAACAGCCTAATGATACTATCTCTAAACCACTACAGGAAAAACAGAGAGCTTGGCATCTTTAATCAAAAAAATATCCTTTCTTAAACTCAAGTCCTTCTTACTCTTCTTCCAGTTCTTTTTTTCCCTCCACAGCTGTTTCTTGTACCTTCCCCTTTCATTTCACCCTATTTCTCAGAATTACTATCTATGTAAGAGAATGTTTGACTGAAACTGCATTTTTTTCAAACTTCTGAAAGCTGAAGCCTATTTTCCTGGGAATAATAATAATAATAATAATAAAAGTTATTCATTTTCCTGTCTCATTATCCACTGCTAAAGGTCATGATATTGTAATATTCTGCCCACTACAAAAAAAAATCAAGTTCTTTATCAGATATTCATATATTTCTTCTCCTTTTTTACACATTTTGGTAAGTCAGAAGACAGATATTGACACTGGCAATTAGTATATGGACACTGACACCTTAGGCAGCTGTCATTGAAACAAATAGTCGTCTTGTACCTCATGAAGATGCTGTTGGCATTTCTCTTTTTAAATTTGGCCTACTATGTCTACATTAATTGTACTCAAAGTGTTATTCCAGGCAATTTCCATTGAAATCTCTTCTTGTGAAGCAGGACTACTCCCAATCTTCCTTATCAGAAGTTATGGCATCTTCCAAACATCTTGATGGTATCTTCTTTATTTGTGACACTGGAAAAAGACATCACCCACAGGAAATCATGAGGCTCTAGTGCTTCTCCTTTTCCTTTCTCAAATTAATGCCTCTAAAATCACTGTGTAAGRTTCTATACTCGGTTAAGTGTGCTCCAACTCATCTTCCTGAAGTCTTTTTTCCCCAAACATAACTATTTTTTCTGTTTTTTTTTCTTTTCTTTTTCAGTTCAGATGTGGAGAGYAGAGCAGTACTCTCACAACATTTTAGTCTTGGCAATATTTTTACCAGGAGCTGTATTGCAAGAATCTTGAGCTGGTTCCTATGATATAACCCTGTTGTTTCTSCCTAATCCCAACTGTGTCCGTTGGTGCTTCCTTTCACTTGTGTTTTCAGCACCCACTGTGTTTGATGCAGAGTTGCAGCAAAACATAAAGAAATTCATAAAGAAAWCTGGCACCAAACCCATGTCCTGTTACTGTGATAAAAGGACTRATTGCAACTGATCATTTTGACRTCTGCCTCATTTTAGAAGCTGATTCTCCTGGGTTTATCTCATTACTTCAGCCCTCCAAGAAATCTATAAATATTTTAAGAGCCCAGCATGTCTCAGACAAACACATAAAAGATAATAGTTACTTTTCTAGCATTTTTATTTTTTCCTCTTTGACTAGATTGGGTAAGTAGATTGGTGGTCACTGCGGAGACAAATTAGAAGTGGGGCCMAATATGCTGTGTTCATAACATGATGCAAAGATTGTGGTGTCTGAAGGCTCTTCCCTTAAGAAATGACCATTAGCTTCATTTAATGGTCTTTCTCTTTCGCTGAGCACCAATGCTCAATATTATTTTCCAACAGGCATTTTCATACCCACTTCCCTCAAAGGACCACAGGGTGGCAGGCTGATTAAATAAATCTGCTGGGAATCTCACAAATACCAAAAGACAGAGCTGGAGCAGCCAGAGGAGCAGCTGATGATGAAGATCCCCACTGAAGGGAGGGATGGGGAGGCCACCCCATGGGGAGGGCGCTGAGCTCCGGCCATGGGGCCGGCCGAGCTGCCGTGTGCTGGGGCTGTAGCCGGAGGAACAGTCCTCCTTGTGCAGGATGCCCGTGTGCTGCAGAGCTTTACCTAGAGGCAGGATGCCATGMGGTCGGTGAGAGATGGTGCCAACCTTCTTGCTTAGCAGAGAGCTGTTTGACAAAGTTTATCTTTATTAAATGCTGCTTCAATCATAGGGCAGCGTGATTCATTATCTCTTGACAGCTGCTGTCTGGCATCCTATCAAACTGTTTGCATCTGCTCCTGCCACCAAAAATGTTATCTACAGATATGTACGTGGTTCATGTTTGCACCAAGCCCTACCCTGGGGCCTGGTTGCGGTGCCATCTGATGGGCCCAAGGTCACAGAAGCAGCAGAGTGTCCAGGGCAGCGCGTGCAGGGTGAGAGGAACAACACTGAGTCTGCAGAGACTGAGGCTGAGAAGCAGAAACGGAGAAAAACTTGTGTCCCTGTGAGCRTTCAAGGCTGGGTATGGTGTCCACTCAAGCCCCAGTGGCTTAAGCAAATGTTTTTCATGCAGCAGCCAGACACGAAAGCACATTAACACAGACACAGCTGAAGGAGACCTTAAGAAACTGTCTTGTAGCATTTAGCTGGTAGGTGTTGCCTTTACACTTGGGATGTGGTTCAGGAAGCTGTTCCTCTTTAGCTGTTGGTCAAACTTCCAGCTGACTCAGAGCTCCCAGGCACTGCACGAGATACTGCAGAAATCAGGAGGTACAACCTGAGCTGAACATACAGACATAGCCCAGGCTGAGGCAGCTCACCAAACAATAACAACAAAAGAACTAATRGAAATGCAGATAAAATCTTCAAATATTCAGATTTCTGCCAAATTACAGGTGCTTTTTGACAGTTATGTGAATATTCTMGTGGCCTTCAAAATTAAAAATTAGCACAAAATATTGAATATGTGAAATGAGACAAATTAGGAACTATTCCAGGTATMATGGACAGATAGAGGTACTCGTGAATAGAACAAATAGCACCACTGACAGTGTAGAAAACAACAGGTAATAGAAAATGCTGCTTTAGCAAAACGTGCCGTTTGCTGGATTATTGAACCTACTGGTCTGATGTGGATTTCTCAAWTTTTCCTGTTAGAGCTGTTTGCTTCTATAAAATGTTTACCTTCAAGGGAGCAAGCACTCATCTTGCGGTAGTGCTTCAGCTACCAGTCCACGCARTAATGTCACGCTCTGGCGCAGTGAGTGCTCGAACGTTTGACACAAAATGGAAAAGCTGAGTAAGGACAGGCTCMGAAAGCCCTTTTCAGATTGTCTCTGCATATTTCAGGATCAAAATGCCATTTTCTCTGCACTTCAGCTCATGGTTGTGGCAATTACCTGGTCAATGGAGCAGGAAAGCTAAGAGGCTGAGCAGAGAGAAGTCTCCTTCTAATGCTGATATTATCGTACTATCCTGCTGTTTTCTCACTACGGTGACTTCTGCAGGAACTGGGATAGTACATTAGGAAAAAAAAAAAAAAGAGAGAGAGAAGTTTAAAATATGCCATTTTTTTCTTCTAAAAAAATTACTAAAAATATTTTTCCTGTGGTTTATCACGAGACTAAAATCAGCTCGGCCAGATGCTTTTAATCCTTTGAATCCACAAATGCAGATCCTTCTGACCAGTTTCTAGCAGACAAATTGTTCAGACTTAAGGCAGCGAATGAGCAGCAGTGAATGTAATCTAGACACTGCCAAGAATGGGAAACACTATTGTATGCAGCATGAAAAGAGAAGGGGAGCCTGGACAATACCTGGTAGTTCCTTCAATTTTCSTTGCCATACCCCTACTCCTAAGGAAGTTAACCAGTTGAAACAAAAAGACAATTGAGTTCTTTTTGCAAATAAGCATGGGAATATAGGGAAAAAAATAGAAAACAAGAATCTACTTATTTTGTGTCAGCATTGCAAAAGATACCTGAAAGAAAAGACTACTTAAAGGTCAGAAACCTATTCTTTTTCTTCCCCAGTAAGGGAGGAACTAAGTATTACTAAATGTGATGTTTACATATTGCTGACTCTTATATAAAAGAAGTTAGGAAAAAATCTCATGGAACAACTTACCTGCTAATGCCTTTTCTCCCTGAAGTGCTCCCCTCTCTTTTGCATGCCATAATCAAAGCCTTAATGATTTGCCTGTCATTTTGCTGTTTAAAAAGCTGTAGTCATTCCCAAAAGACAAACAATATTAAGATACAAAAACAGTGTTATGGCAGAAATAAATAAACAAATATTAGTAACTTTTTTGAATGTCACAGGCCAAAATAAGCTCACAGAAAATTAATTAGTRTAACCAAAGATATCAAATCTCAGAGTCATTTATCAAATCAAAACTTAGGCCACAGATGCAATAGTCTTTGAAGCCATATTCTCAAAGCAATACTCCTGCCTTGTCAGGTATTTGGTGTTTCAGCATTTGACATTTCTCAGTGAGGTCAGTGGGGAAGTTGTATAAATTATGGGAGCATTTTCTTAAAACCTGGTACTCTTAGCACTATGTCCCTCTTCATGCATGATGTCCTATGTGCACCATAGGCATCCTGTGGTGCACACCGGTGACACCTGTGACAATCTCCTCGAGCTCTCCAGGGTTCAGTGTGGAACCTGATGCCTTCCTGGGTGCCAGATGTCCTTCCAATGCACTGGCTGGCGCTCCAGTTTGCTTGATGTTGGTGGTGCCAGCTCTCCACGGGCCCCATGAAGCAGAGTGGGCAAGTCGCTCTTGCCACTCTTTGGATGTAGCAGAGGATGAATTCTAGTGTCCCACAGCTCAAAGCTTTACCGTGCTTTTGCCTCAGGAACACCACACTGCTGGCTCCTTACCTTGATCTCACTTGTCCCAAGCCACATTAAGGTGAAACGCAAGCAAATTGACAGCTTCCAGATTCTGCATGTGCTTCCCCACCTTTTTGTGGGATTTCTGTGGCATCTCTCATAGTCAACCTGCTTGGGAGCGAGGTCAAGACCTTTGCTGGAACTTGTGGTGTCTATCAGCGTGGACACTAAAACATGCAAGCTCCACACAGGCTACTTTATGTAGGTCACTGCTGCCCCTTGACTGCAGCCTGACACTCGGTGGTTCTGTTATCCAGCCGTTCTGGGGAGGACCGGGTTTGGGCTTACCCGCTTTCCTCCTTTATAAGGCACACTGCCATACTAGTAATAGTAGTAGTAATAGTAGCCAAAAGCAACTATAATGCCCAAAGCTGGCATGGCAGAGCAAGCATATTGACACTTCTCCTAAACATCCACCTTGCTTCCAATTAATTCCAGCACGGAGAATTTCCTGAGCTGGAGGTGGTTGYTATCCACTTAGTAACCCCCAGAGATGTCTTTTCCAAATACTTGTCCTTTATTTCTTCCTYGAATCCAAATGCTTTCTTTTGTATCTACAGCTTCCTTTGGTAATAAGCATATGGTGCATACATTGATTATACAGGGTGCAAAGAACCATCTACTTTTCTTTGTCTGCAGCCTGTTTTCCACCAGGTTCCCTTCTTAGCTCTTTCGCTGGGCGCCCAAACGATGCCAGTATTTCCAGCACTTCAGCGTATGCAATTTTCCCCAGAGTGTGTGAGGGCAGATGTAACAAGTGGGCAGCCAGGGCTTACCTTAATGACGCTGGTTTGTAAATGAGCACTGCAGAAAGATGCCGCTTGGATTTTTTTAAAAGGTGGGKTTTTTAAGGTGATTTTTTATTATTATTTTTCTCCAGTCAAACACCTTGACAAGCGGTGCTCACGATCGCGCTCGCTCGGGGGCAATTGCGGGAGGTACCCGGGGGAGGAGTGGGGGGCAAATTCAGGATATACCCACAGGAGGAGGGGGGCAATTTCGGGATATACCCACTGGAGGAGCGGAAGGCAATTTCGGGAGGTACCCGCGG